CTCTCGGTTGGTTGTGCATTTTTTTCTTCCACACTTTTTCCTTCCACTTTCTGTTAACATGCTTGGATACGGCACTCTGTGAACAGCCAGCTTCTTTGGCAATTAATGTTTGTGGCTTACCCTCCTTGTGGAGGGTGTCAATGATTGTCTTCTGGATAACTGTCAGATCAGCAGTCTTCCCCATGATTGTGTAGCCTAGTGAACCAAACTGAGAGACCATTTTGAAGGCTCAGGAAACCTTTGCAGGTGTTTTGAGTTGATTAGCTGATTGGCATGTCACCATATTCTAATTTGTTGAGATAGTGAATTGGTGGGTTTTTGTTAAATGTGAGCCAAAATAATCACAATTAAAAGAACCAAAGACTTAAACTACTTCAGTCTGTGTGCATTGAATTTATTTAATACACAAGTTTCACAATTTGAACTTTTCCACGACATTCTAATTTATTGAAATGCACCTGTATATGAACAATTATATCATACAGAAACAAGCACAAACATTTGCTTGACCAGCCACAACATCAGCATAACAGTTACTGCAAAATTATTTACCTCCAACTCTCTTTGCAGAACACCCAATCCCTGTTCCCTGCATCTCCCTCCTGCATAATCTGTTTTTCTTTTTCTCCTTGTAGCTGGAAATCAGCTCACAGACAATTTGCGGGCTATATATATATATTTTTTTAAATAATTCCAGTCTCGCTCCAGAACTCCGGTCTGATGCACGCGGGTTCTCGCGTTATTTCCTTATCACTTCTCGCGTGTGTTTTGTTGTGAAACGTAGTTTGCGGACCAGACAGAGCTGTCGGCGATTCTTCCTATTGCGAAGTCATGCAATGTGAAACCCCCTGTCGCCGATCCATCGTGCAGTGTGAACACAGCAGCGACTGAATGCTACCCCAGATAGTCACGCAGTGTGAAAACTACGGCGATCCGACGAGCTTCAAAATCGTGCAGTGTGAACGCGGCATTAAGTGACTTGGAATGTGGCATGATTGTTGGTGCTGGACAGACTTGTCTGAGCATTTCAGAAACTGCTGATCTACTGGGATTATCACGCACAACCATCTCTAGTGTTTACAGAAAATGGTCCGAAAGAGAGAAAATATCCAGTGAGTGGCAGTTATGTGGGTGAAAATGCCTTGTTGATGTCAGAGGGGAATGGCCAGACTGGTTCGACCTGATAGAAAGGCAACAGTACCTCAAATAACCACTCGTTATAAGGTATGCAGAAGAGCATCTATGAATGTACAACACGTAAAACCTTGAAGCGGATGGGCTACAGCAGCAGCCCACAGTGTACCCATATTATAATGGTTACTTCCAGCAGGATAACGTGAGATGTCACAAAGCTCAGATCATCTCAAACTGGTATACTGAACACGGCAATGAGTTCACTATACCAGGGGCTTTCAAACCCCTCATCTAACACACCTGATTCAACTCATCAGCTCCTTAGTAAAGACTGCAAGAACTAAATTGGGTGTGTCTGATAAGGGAGACATACAAAATGTGCAGGGGGTCCTCCAGGACAGGTTTGAAAACCACTGCACTATATTCAAATGGCCTCCATAGTCACCAGATCTCAATCCAATAGACCAGTGGTTCTCAATTCCAGTCCTGGGGACCCACTGCTCAGCACATTTTGTATGTCTCTCTTATTTGACACAATCAGTTCAGTTCATGGATCTCTCTCCTAACGAGCTGGTGATCTGAATCAGGTGTGTTAAATAAGGGAGACATGCAAAATGTACAGAGCAGGGGGTCTCCAGGACTGGATTTGAGAAACTGTGCAATAGAGCACCTTTGGGATGTGGTGGAACAGGAGGTCCGCATCATGGATGAGCAGCCGGCAGATCTGCAGCAACTGCGTGGTGCTGTCATGTAAATATGGACCAAAATCTCTGAGGAATGTTTCCAGCACCTTGTTGAATCTATGTCATGAAGAATTACAACTGTTCTGAAAGCAAAAGGGGCCGGTAAGTGTTTGTTGACCTCTCATCCTATATTTTAATTAGGCAGAGAGTTTATTTATGCAAAGAGAAACCCCCTTTTGCATTTACATGAAATCTGTCAATCAGTTTAATAAGTACTTTTCAAGTGTGAACCATGCTGAGTGATGACATCTGTTATCATACATTTAACGCATGGATGACAGATTTCATGTCTTCTGCAGGACAAAAGGCCAGTTTGACAAACCAAGACACAGGCTGAGGAGTTCTCCTAAAGAGGGGAAGGACTGGAGTGACATGCCAGTCACTTCCCAACAGGTGTGTCTGACTTGAAGTGGTGCTGCGCAAACAGATCGGTGTATGACATCAAAGTACCACGAGAGCGATTGGAAAGCATGCAGAACTGTCCGCAGCGCCGCTTCAAGTCAAACACACCTAATGTCTATTAGCAAGAAACTGGTGAGGTCTAGTAAAACTCACCTAGTGAGTTACACACAGGGAGTCAGTAATTCCAATTTTATGTACTGATTGTCAAGCACTCACACACAGTTATCCTCACTCTCTTTACTATACTGTCACTAAACTACAGGTGATGTCAATGGTCCCTGTCATTCTCTCTCCTCCAGTGGGACTGAAATCTGAAAATGCCTCATCGCCATGATATATGTACACCACTGTCCAAAAAAAAAATTTAAAGAAGTCTCTTCTGTTCACCAAGGCTGCATTTATTTGATTAAAAATACAATGAAACAATAACATAATTTATTTATGTGATGGTGAAGCTGAATTTTCAGCAGCCATTACTCCATTGTTCAATATCACTTGATCCTTCAGAAATTATTCTAAAATGCTAATTTAAAAACGTTTTCATTATCAATGTTTGAAACAAATGTTGCCTAATATTTTTGTGGAAAAAACATTTGACAAA